TTCAGCAAAAATAACTTCACCTGTCTCCAAGAATGAGATTAGGGAAATTTATATTATTTTATAATTTTTTCCAGCGTGGTTGGGCTTTTGTTTTTTGGAATTTTTTATTGGCAACCTAGGAAATTATAAAATTATACACAAAACTGACATTTAAAGAAGCCAAGGTCATAAAATCAAGAACTCAAGAGTTAGGAAACCATATTACTAGTGCTGCTTGCACCCCATTCTTTTATCTACTTTACATGCAAATGGTTCAGTTACCAGCTGGCTCATGGTACAATTTTTGATACAATCCAATGTCTCAACCACCTCAATGATGACTATGTTTGTTATAAGAACAAGTCAGGGCACTATAATGTAGAAAAATTTATATCTACAGGAAATAAACTTTGACAAAGTTGAACGAATAAGGCAGCAAACAGCAAGAAAAGCAAAGCCGTTCTGGCTCAAGCAGCTGAAGCACTGGAGAAGGGGCTTCAGCTCTGTCACTGCCTTGGACTGCTCAAGAGCTACTGAGTAAATCATCAACCTCGTACTTTTCACCGGCAGTTACTGATTTCTTGCATCTCTCCTCCATACCAAATACTGGATGTTGGCAATGTAAGATGCTGACGTTTTTGCACTCAAAACTTGGAGTTTCCACTGAAACTTGGAGTTTTCGTGATTGTTGGACCTTAAATGTGGGTAACTTGCTGTCATTTTGAGTCATCTCACAGTCTCAAAACCAGTGGGTGGGCTGGACCTGAACCTCCCTGAGCCTCAGTTCTTCACCTGTGGACCAGGACAACACTCTCTTTGCAATGGAGCTTTAAAAATATCAGGCAGATCCACAACCTTGAATGCATACAGAAGGGGAGGACTTGGGTATTTGAGGTGAGGACCTGGGTATTTCAGCAGTAAGTGCCATAGGGAAGCCCAGAAGTAATTATTAATTCCATTCTCAAGTAAGGTTTGAATACTGCTCAACAAACAAAGCACTGAAGAATGAGGGTGAGAAAAAATATTGACTAGTTGCTCCATCATTGTCTGGTCTGTGCCCTAGATAGCACAAAGCTATTTTGAAAAAAAAGCAGAATGGAAACACCTAATAAAAGGTTGGAGCTTTAAGAATTTGAATCTTTGAAGAAAAACTTTTAAGATAATTTTAATGCAGTTGTATGCACTTCTGCTCAGAGAGACAGTCACATATAGACATGCATATATAGAAAGTTTATATAGGCACATTACTCTACAAATGTACAGATATTTATCTGTGTGTACCTAGACTTTCATAAAACATAAACAAGCATCTGACACCTAATGCAGCCCTCGATCAGAATTGCTCTCTCTCCTTTGTAGAGTATCACCAGTAATTATTTACCATTAGTTCTTAATGGGAAGAGATTCATCTGGGATGTAATAAACAAGAAAACTGTATAGATTGTTCAATACAGGCTGGCTGGCTCTCAACTGAGGTAAGAAGTGATTGGATCACATCTCCTGGATATTTCAATCACAGTTTTTATCACTGGGGAAAAGCACCTTATTAACCTGTACTTGGTCAGGTCTCTTCCATGTCCATATATGCAACCCTTTCAACATCATACGAGTGCCCTTTCTAGTTTGTGTTACCATGCTTCAAGCCCTAAACTGCTGTGGGGTTAAACAACCAACAAGACAAGAGACCTGAAGGGTTCATTTAGACTAACAACATCTTGAACTCTGCTACCTTCCCACATGCCACAGACTTTTTTTTTTTTTTTGCAACAGGGTAAGGGCTCTCTCTTCCCATGACAGAAACATCTGGTTGTGGCAAAAAGATGGTCCTAAAAGGCAATGCTGGTGATGTGCAAGCAAAATCATAGCACATGAAAAAAAAAGGGAAAAGAGTCCCCCACGTGGATTATTTCATTGCTTTAAAGAAAAAATAAAACAACTCAGGGAAAAGGATCAAGTTAAAACGATGGTATTATTAAAGACTTGTGCCCTACTACTGATACATTTTCTGGCACATCTCACATCATCACCCCATTCCTGTGACTCCTCCACCATCAATAGGAGTTGTATGCATCAACCTGGGGAGCCCAAACACTGGGCAGACCATATTTAAAAAGCACCATTTTTTTTGTTACGGCAGAGAACCGAAGTATGCAACTAGCACATACTGTTAAAGGCATTCAAAATATGACCAAAAAAAATTGTTCAAATGTTTTCAATCTGCAGAAAACAAATGCTCTCTTCACTGACTGCTGTGTGGCAAACTCCTAATTCCATTCAGAAAATCCAGCATTCCCAGTCTGGGCTAACAACCATGCTACCAGACATGAGTTTATGTTTTTCATGCACATTTCATGTATTCCCATATGCTGTGTTGCTGCCAATAATTTATGACTGATCTGCACCCAGCCTGCCCTTCAGCATTTTATTTAATCTCTGCAACAGTAATTTACAATGACTCATCATTAATACAAAAATGTACATGTGTGTTAACAAGTTTGGAAGAATCTAAGGAGGAAGGCAAAATTTTTTGCAAGTCGTGGCTGAATGACTTATGAAGCCACTGAAGGAAGGCAAAGCTAACCAGAAATTATATGTTAGCACTTCCCTGCAGCAAACAATTTAGGCAAGAAGAGTTTCTTCTCCTGCATACCACTGTAGAAGAAAATGTATTCAGGAAAAAGTTGGGAGAGGGTTGCTCCATACCCCTCAGGATTTGGGAGGGGATGAGTAGCTTGTTGGTCACCCTATGGCTGGATGTTCCCTGGGGATGCATGTGTGTGTGTGTGTGTGCAACCTGCACACTGAGCCATGGCCTCAGAGCATCTTGTTCCTTAGCATCCATTACAAAAAGCAGGGGCTGAATTACCATATTTTGGCATCTCTGCCTACCACGTGTGATTTAAGAAAGACCCAGTTGTCTCTATAGCGTTAATTCTTTGTGGGGCTGGGGAGGGGAATTGTCTCAATAATTTATATAATTGTAACACCACAGCAGAATTACCAAACTAACTCAAGCAGAGGAAGCCTGCCCTACATCCACAAGACTTCAGTTAAGTATTTTGACCTACCTTTTTTTTTCCCCTTGCTCATAAGGAACACATCTGACAAAGCCAAAGCAGAAACTCCTCAAATCTGAGGTGAGATGGGTACTGAAATATACCTCAGAAAGTCACTTGGGAGAAATTACACTAGCTTTAGTTCAAAGCATCCCATGTTCATAATCTCAAAAATTTTCTTTGATGGATCACCCTAAATTGACATAGTTGCCGAATCCTACGCTCCCAGACCCCTCAAAAGCAGCACAAACTTGCATCACTCCACTGTTGAATAAGACCCCTGACAAACATACACAGCTTCTCAACTGGACAAAGCACCTATTGTTAAACTGAAGGACAACCATATAAATTCAAGTATTGCTTGGACGAAGGTTGGAAGACATAAAGCTGACGCAAACACTAATTTTCCCTGGCTCAGCCAAAATACCACAGGTTACCTTTCCTTATAACACGTATTTTACATTTAGTGCCTTTTATTCCCCCATTTTAAAGTAAGTATCTTGGAAGCTTGCTTCACATATACTAAGTATTTGGCATTTTCCTTTATTCAGTGTCTTAAAGGGTTTCAAAAAATTGATCTCCCAGGGCTGCTGTGGGGTCACAGAAATTGATAACCCTTACAGGCTATGCTCATGTGAGCCTGTCTGTGTCTCCCAGATAGTGCACTTTGTAAATTAATCCTCCAAAGGCAAATATATTGTAAGTAGCTTGTTATCTCTAAAGTACTAAATTGAAGAATACATGGGATTATATTGACAGAAATTACATTTTCTGTAATGGGGTTTAATATATCTGAAATCTCTCCCATAGGTTCCTACTCTCTCTAAGAGAGGAGGGTTTGTTAATGTAGGTGCAATGGACATCAAGACCAAATTTATTCACTAAAATGGATTAGGCCACGTAATCAGAGCTTCAGTAATATTAATCTCTGACACTTACTGAATGGGAAAAACATACTTTTGTCTCCAAACTGGCATTCCTCCCTCCCTTTTCCCCAGCAGGTTCGCCGTTTGCCTTGGCCATTTTCTGGGTATTACTTCAAAAAGGATAAGGTTTCCCATCATAAACACTAATCTAAAAATACTAGGACAATTAATTAGATACACTTAGTTTTACAATGTATTAGATTGCAATACATTTCAAATATGTCACTTGTTCTGGGAGAATGGGAGAAACTTGCATTTCGATGCAGTAACAAAGCGTAATGAACTGAATATTTTTTTTAAGGGTTTGCTGTTGTGTTTTTATACTTAAATCACAAGTAATTTTCACTGGTTGCCTTCACCATACTCTGAACAGTTAGCAACCCAAAATTCACTGCAGAAACAGCATGGATCCTGATTTCCTTCAAACAAACTGCTACTACAACAGATCAGGGGCTTCAGCAACCCATAGCTGGAATAAAAAAATAAAATTGCTCCACACTGTACTTCAGCAGCAGAAGACAGAATTCACTCAAAGTTTATTCAAGCTTTCAAAAACTAGTGTTTTTAAACAAACTACTGAAGAGATAGAAGGATATCAGTCAAAAAGAAAAACCCCACAAACAACACTAAAAATGTGTTACAGCATTCCCAAATTACAATACATTCTGCAGAAGTGGGGCCAACTGCTCCTTTTTTTCACCCAACATCTCAACGTCTTCCAAGACCAAAGTTCTCAAAATGGATGTGGCTTTCTATTGAGGAAGACACAGCCTCAGCCACAAGCAGGACTGGTACCCAAATGTGAATACACTGAAATCCGCCTGCTGAGAAAGCGATGGGAAAATAAATACTGCTTGTTTTCTGCAATAGCAAACCTCTTAGTTCCCATAACTGAAACCACTCGCCTGGCTATATCACTTTTGCATCAATAAACTGCTGGAGGCGGGAGCAGACAAGGGCAAGGTGTGTCCTCAAAAATGCAAAGCATTAGCCAGAGGGTGCCAGTGCCCATATAGAAACACTAAGGAAAATTACTTACCAATTGTTCACTTGAAGTATAGTGAGCCCTGTGTCTTGTGCCAACTGCTTTTTCTGTTCTTCTGAAGGGTAAGGGTGCTATAAGACACCAAAATAAATATATACATTTAAAACAATGCTTTTTTGCCTACTTTCTATTTTAAATTAAAAAACCCAACCCACAACCAAAAAACCAGAAGCATGAGATCCATTATTGAAAGGTGAAAACGCTGAGGTGTGTCACTCTTTTATAATTATTAATGGGCTACTACATCACTTAATTAATGGCAGCAAAAGACAAGCCAATTATAAAGATTAGTGAAGTGGAGAAATAACTGCTTAGGATACTGGCAGTACCTTGATACTTAAGAAGGATATTTGTTGCATTAGCTGAAAGTTTTTGCACTTGTCTCAAATGACCAGAGTCGAATCACTTTTTTTTCCTGTATTTCACAGAACAATAAGGAATGCAATAAAGCACTTCTTTGTAAAACTAAAATATGCTGATGTTTTCTGAGATAGTGAAGACAAATCTTGCCAGTGCCCCAAAATAATTTGCAAATAACATCAGCATCCTGAACATAAACAAGTGCCTGAGTTTTGAACACAGGCCAACACAAGGTCAATGATCAGCACATTTTTGCCTGACATTAACATAGCTTTGCTACACTAATCTTAAGAGACAGAAAATAAATACTGGTTTAATTGAAGATAATGTTAAAATTCAATCCTAGATTAAGTTTCTTGTGAGAACTTGATGGCTTTCTCAGAAAATTAGCTTCTGCATGAATACAGATTGCTTAAAAAATCAACAGCAAAAACCACAACCAAGTTTGAAATTTAGAAATGACATTAACACTACCATTTCTGTCCTTTCCCTCCATGCAAAAATGTCACTGTCTTGAAAGCAAATGGCCAAGTATTGCAAATATAAAAATTCCCAGCAAAAAACCACCATTCTGAGGACCTGGCTCAGCTCCTAATCTGGATACTCAAGTCTTAGTACACATCAGATTCAGATCTGCAAAGCAGTTAATTACATTTCTATAGAGATATTTTGACATAAATGGTTACATCTAACCCAACATCCCATTTAGCAGTTGGTTGTCATGACGATTAATACACACATTCTTTTTTTCCCAAAACTTTCCCATATTTTTTGGAAGTATTCTTAGGCATAATATTACATGAGATGTAAATTGAAACATTGTAAAGTGTAAGAATTTAAAACCTCATAAAATCCCACAATCTTATTGGTATCGTAACTATTTAGCGGATTTTATACGTTCTTGTAAACAGTGTAATCTGACATCTAACGGTTATGTTACATGACTGCATCACTTCACTTTACCAAATAGGGATTTTTGTTGTAACTCTTGCCCAATGTGCCCATTTCAAAGCTCACAGCAGTGGCCATCAGCTCCAAAAGACACCTGTTTCCCCCCCAGAATGGCAGAGAACTTCCCATTCTTCTAAAAATAGTGTTTCTTGACAGTAAGCTCAGAGATAACCTGCACATCCAGAAACTACCCCCTGTACTTTCTGCATGGATATGAAACAGCTCCAGAATTGCAAAGTGGAAGACACAGGGAAGGGAATTTTATTTCTTTTTTACAAGTAATTTGCATTTTACACATGCAAAAATATAGCATTAATTTTATCTTCCACTTTATATACATGTTCATCCACAACAAATAGTTGTACTTGACTTACATTCATCTATCTGAACATAACATTTTGCTTCTCTTAAAAAAAACCCCAAACCTTACAGAGATGATTCGTAACATTTTCATCTTTATAGCTTGCTTCCCATTTCATTACTTTGCTATCAAGTGAGGATAAATTTATTCTTTTTTTGCTTATTTTGCTTTGCCACCTTCCATGTGATCTAATTTTAAGTAATTGAACAAACTGTGTCTAATTTCATGCAGCAAGCAATAATTACTAGACAGCCTCTAGCTATTGGAATTGAGAACTCTGTCTCCATTAAGCAATTTTCAATTGTTCTGGACTTTTCTCCAAATAGACAAGACTGGATAAAATTAGCCATCAGAATAATACAGTCACTGTAAAAATAATTGCTTTAAAAGTCCCAAACCCCAAATTCTTCAAATTCCGGTATGTTTAAGGTCATCTGATTTTTATTTTTTTTTTACATAGCCTAACACAGTACAAACTTTTAATTTCATGATAAATCTATAATTGCCATAATCACATGACAGCCAGGACTTCACATAGCTAATCCCTCTTAGCTAAAGGTTCACAATGCAGCAGGCTTTGTAATGATGATTCGATGTGGTTTAAAATAATCTTAAATGCTGGGCATACTTATTATATAAGCTTTCTGTGGATCATACGAGTTGTTCCTTTGTAGACCAAGAAAAAATAATGAAAATGACTTGACAAAGAATCAGCATGCCACAGGCTAGGTTGCTATAAAAACATTCAAAGCCTTGTTGCATTCCCACCCACGGGGCCTGTGCTACAGGCAAAGGCAGACATCACACTGCAACAGAGAGAAAGGGGGAAGCCCTGAGAACTGCCATTTTATGAAGAAATAGGAAATTCAGTCAAAACTGTTGCTGTTGGTCTTTATTTCACCAGTGTGAGAATGACAGGTGCCTTCCAAAAGCTTTCTAATGGTTGTTTAAAGGGATAAAGACACATGCACAGAGATATGTGTATATATATTTGCATATATATATGTATATTATATTTGTGTGTATACATATGAAATATATATAAATTTATATTTTAACTTTTTTTTCCATCAAATGCTTTAGTTTTAGGTAGTCCTGCAAGGAGCAGGGAGTTGGACTTCATGATCCTCATGTGTCCCTTCCAACTTGAGATATTCTATGGTTCTCTGAAATATGTATTTATAAGTAAGTGTGTGTCTAAAAGCAGTGTACTGACTCCAGTGGGCAAGTCCACCTAACACTCTGGATCACTTTGGGATATCAAAGCAAATTGTAACACTGTTCAATAAACAGTGACTTGAGACCTTTACTTTGTTGTGTACATTAGCTCCTACCATTATCTCTTAAAAGCTTAATTATTTGCAAACAATTGATCAAGGTGGGAATTGGAGAAAAGAGACGCCAGACCACTGGGAGAGCTGCAATGCATTAGGAGAGCAAACAGAAATACCTTAGGTCTTATAAACAGAATTAACGATTGGGACCTTACGCAGGGCAGCGCAAGAAGCTGTAACACTCTTGCTGGAGTGTTTTCCATTTGATCTGCATTAACACCTTGAGTAAAAGTCATAAAATGGTGATTACCGATGGGAAGGCTGACCCTCCTTCCCAGAACCAGTCCAGCTTGTGGATACTGGAAGACTGCAGACAGGCTGTCTTGCCAAGGCCAGCAGAAAAAGGCAAATCCAAGGCAAGGGGGAGAAATGTAGGAAGCAGGCAGGTTTAAGAAAAAAGCAACACCAAAACACTTGAAAGAATAAGGCTGACAACAGAGAAGGACTCTGAGTCTGCCTTCCATATTTTCTCATCATGCCTGCTGCTACTACAAAGCAGATCCACCAAATGGTATGAGACATAGTGCTTTTTTCCCTTACCATAAATCTAGCACTGAAATGTGGATTGTTTGGCACCATTAATGTGTTTTTGAGGCTCTGTGGTATTACTTTTAATAATGACTTACTACAGAAAGTGATTGCTTAATAACACCATCAAAGTCTGCATGCAAATGAAAATTATCCTGGGGGGAATTTGCTCAGGGTAATATGAACAGTTAAAGAACATTTGAAAAGGTAAAAATAACTATGAAAATATGAGTCAGAGCAGTCATTTTAACAGTAACAAAGAAATCAAAGCGACAGAGAGGAAAATGTAACTTTCCATCATATTCTCTCATCACTGTTTTATGAATGGTATTTAGAGACCAGTACTCTTAATAAAAGCCCCTTTTTAATGCAGCCGAGATAATTTTTAGCAAAACAAACAATAAGACTTTTTTTCTTTTCTACAACCTTTGACTACAGCCAATGGGTAAAGTCTCCAGTAGATACTGATGGAAAGCATCCAAGTTTGTCTCTTAATGATACCCCTTGTCCAAATGTACTCCTTTCCTCAAATTTTCCACCCCAGGCTGCAAATGCTGGATGCCAGGATAGAGATGGACTTTATCTTATCTGTAACTCAATATCAACAACACTCCCTCCCTCTCTGCCTTTCCCGCCAGAGCAGCACATCATAATCACCACAGAAAAATATGAAAATAATCCTGCCCAGAGTTTACTGCTAAGATAATGGGAGGTAAAACCATCCCTCCTCATACCCCAGATTAATAATTCCCTGTGGCATCAAACTGCCTTGACACCAATGTTGCCAACCAGCCCTACTGTAGCACAGAGGCAGAAGCAACCCTCAAGCAATAGGTTGCACATTATGTTATAAGGATGTTGTGGTAACCATCCAGTGTCGCTCTTATCGCGGCAGTGCTCTTGCTTGGCTGACTGCACTGGGAGAACCATTTTGTAAGTCCTTTTATCCCCTTCCTCCAGAACCTCTGCCTCCTCCAGAACTCTGTGTAATGCACCAAGGTGAGATGACCTTGAGCTAAACTCTGGTAGGTGATGGGAGAGAAACTAACCCCCAAAATGTACATCCTCGGGAGTGTCGATTAACTGTTTTCTAACTTCAAAATAAAAATTAAAAACCCCACAACACTATGATTTTCTTGTTTCTGAACAGCAACGCAGCCTGCACGTAACTCAGTAAACAGAATAAAGCCCAAGATTCAGCCCTTCATTGATAAATTGCATATTGGTTTTATATCAAACTCTGACTCTTGGCTTTACCCAAACTTGTCAAGGGCTAGCTAAGGCAGCAGCACAGTGGCTCAGGTCTTTCCTCTTCCCTTCTCTCCTCCTGCTTTGCATTTGAACTGTTTACATTAGTGATCAAGTTGATCTATGATAAATTATTTTTTAAAAATATCTTTAATGCTTTCCTATTGTCTCTCAACTTTATGAATTAGTTTTACTGTTGCAGTGAACACTTTTTTTGTCTCCTGATTGCACATTATCAAAGGGACACTTTGTGCCAGCTATTTGCATTACAAAAGTTGTACATGGGGTA